ATAGACTCAAAAAGTTTCATGACCCTTGTCAATGAACTTCCACGTGTGCCCCCTTCGTCACACGGAGAATATCAAGTCGATAGTCAATTTCACGCAAGGTAGCGGTAAGCATGTCGGCATCCACAGAGGCTATTGCCGTTGTAATTCTGGCTTTTAAGTCATCAATGTTCGACACGATCCTCCTGTAAACATCGTCCTTTATAAATCCCCAAAGAAAAAAGTCCAGCTGCGTTATATCAGGTGATAAGGACGATGGGCTGAGGAGGATGGCGTTTGCAACAGATATGGTAGGAAGGATAGAAGATGCTACTGATTTTCTGAAGCGCATAATGTTCTCCGACGAAGCATCCGTTCATGTTTCTGGCATTGTTAATCACCATAATGTGCGCATATGGGGCTCTGAAAACCCCCATGAATACCGTGAGACACAAAGGGATTCCCCAAAGGTTAATGTGTGGTGTGGACTAATGCACGAGTCATTGGGCCTTTCTTTTTTTACAGAAAAGACGGTCTCATTAGTCGTATACTTAGACATGTTGAAAAACTTCGTATTTCCACAACTAGAAGAGCTTCAGCCTCGTGTCTGTTTGCAACAAGATGGTGCACCTCCTCATTGGGGTATCATCGTTCGTAGTTCTTTGAATGACCATTTTCCAGGAAGATGGATTGGGCGAGGAGGTCCAATTCCTTGGCCACCCAGATCACCTGATATAACGCCGCAGGACTTTATTCTTTGGGGATTTATAAAAGACGATGTTTACAGGAGGATCGCGTCGAACATTGATGACCTAAAAGTCAGAATTACAACCGCTATAGCCTCTGTGGATGCCGACATGCTTGCCACTACCTGACGTGAAATTGACTATCGACTTGATATTCTCCGTGTGACGATGGGGGCACACGTGGAAGTTCATTGACAAGGGTCATGAAACTTTTTGAGTCTATCTAACCCTTTATGTTATTAATTTTAATCTATCTTTATTATTTTATGAGTTATTAAACATCAAAATGGGTCCGGGACTTTATAAACACCCTGTACTTTTATTTAACACACTCAAAGCTCAAGAAAAATTTGAAAATTGAAAAGGCAGTCATCTTGTAATCATTCAGACTGTTTCATCCATACACAAACTAGGAAATTTTGAACTACCAAATTCCCGTGTTAAACTGTCTTTTCTTAACATCATGTCATCATGTATTAGTATTTATTCCTTTTATACAAAAGCGATGATGCTCAACTACTGTGCATTTAACTTTTCCCCCTGTCTTGAACTTTTTATAGATACATGATTTAGATATACAATTTATGCTAATTTCCTAGTTTTCCACCAGGTGGGACTATAATAGGTCTCACCGCGTAGTGAAAAGATACTCTACGATACATAAACATCACTAACATAACCATAGCATGCAGCCTGTAATCGACACACTCTAGTTAGGTCAATAAGTTAAAAGTTTGCTTAATAAGTTTCAGTTGCATAGATATATTCATAACATTAACAATTATTCTAACATAAATAATAATTAAATATTGATTTTACCATAAAAAGTTTAATTTGGTTTTCTGGATCGATGTGCCTCAGGACACCGGCCATGAGTAAATTGGTACAGAACTGAACTGCTATCAAACGTAATTCCTTCCGGCTGAGGATGTGATCCTCAGGAAAAGATGAACAAAACCAATTGACAAGCATTTGACCTGAAATATATATGAATCAATACTTACTAAAAGTATAGTGCTATACTTTAGCATAAAATATTTCATAAAACGAACACAATATAAACTTTTAAGAGACATACTGGATTTTCAAAATGCAATATTTAGAGTAACACTATATCCTCATAAGCGGTGTTAAAAGATTGTGTGTAAGGTTTTCAAAAACAGTGCAGTTTCTTTATTTATAACATAAATAAGTATACTATAGCCCTGCTACTAATATTTGTTCAGAAACAAAAACATGCGCATGAGATAATGTCAGAAAACCGAAAAATATCATTAAAAGTAATTTTAATTCTTTTTCTCAGTTGCTTTTTTAATATAGTTGTCTAAATATTCATTGTGTTTTTGTGAAACCTTCTCTTATTTCCCCCCTTCGATGATTACAATAAATTTTTGAATGTATTGCTATAAAAATAAATCTAGATCGAAATAAGTTTAAAGTAAATATCTTTTTTATAGTAATATAATTTTTTATTTAAATTTATTTATAAAATACTTGTGTGTTTGTATAAAAGACTAGGTTGGTAATAATGATTTAACAGACCATTTGAAATGGTTGAATGATTTCCATTACCATATCTATAGAAACCTTAGTTAGCTGCACAACTGTTGGAATAGGCAAAACCATTTAGAAAAATTAAAATACAACGATACGTGATTTCAGTGTGAAGCACATTTTCCAATGCATTTGAAAATAAAAGCTTATCGTAATTGATGTGTTATTTTATGATACAAAAGTACGATGAACAAATATTATAAAAACTGTACCCATGTCTTGTTACAATTTGTGTATAAGCTTTATTAACACGCTGAAAGCCACGCTTTACATGACTTGCCCATCTGGCCACGGTAAATAACTACAAACTAAGTTTGCAAATATTAGAAGGATTTTGCTATTTTTTTAGAAGGCTTATCATGACATATCTGACAAAAGTGGTGAATTATGTAAGCCTACGAATTGTTTAAAAATAGTGGTGGATAAAAATCTACTAAATTGAATTTATTAAACCAAGAATCACAATAATTAAGTAAATTTTGAATGAATTTTCTGCAATTCCATAAAAGGGCGTAAATTTTACAGTTCTATATCATGTTATGCGCTGTCAGCCAGCTGTTTTTCGCGGCCTATGTGTAAGGTCAGTGTCAGCAAGCGGTTGCAGATTCAGCCTAAATGCAATTTCAGTGTCAGCCACCGGTGGTTGACACGGACTAAATGTAATTTCAGTGTTAGCCACCGATGGCTGACGCGGCGCTCAACGTGTTAACTTTGCATTGATAAACAAGGATCAATACAAGATTTTTTTTCTTATTATTATTACTGTAGATAACAATTTTTTACTCACCTTGAAACTTTTCATAGAGACTAAAATCAAGTTCGTCTGGCAAAAATTTAGGCTTACTGATGTTCTTTTCGATGGTTGCTTTATCAAGGGTGAGGGACGGCACACGACGTAAGTAACATTCGTTTGGAACCATTAAGCTCTGAGAACAGTACCTTCGCATCACCTGTATAGAAACAATCAAGATCTAACTAAAAAGAAACTGAACTTTTTAATCGAATTTATTCCATGGGGAACCATGGGATCGAACCCATGACCTCTTGAACATGGACCCAGAGCCCTACGAATCACGCTATCCCAGCCCAATGAATAAAATTATCATTATTGAACCCACATGAGTACAATTGAAAAGTAATAAAGAATATTTTAAGTCTGTTTATATTCCTGAGGCGTTCGGAGCGGCAATCGAAGTTTAAACTCGTCACCGACTTGAACGTTCATAATTTGACAAAAAAGTTAAATCGGTTGTTATTCTGGAACAAGACTGAACTAGATCGCAACTCCCAGTGTTTTCAAAACACTTGGGCTGATAATTCATACCGAAACATTGGATTTAGTTGTCGTTAAAAAATTCCTAAATTGTTAAAAGATTACTTATCAAGAGAACAAATTAAACTCTTTCATTTTAATGATTTGATAATCATTGCATCATCCCTGAATATCATTCTGACAGCAGATTTTTTATGTTTCCCAATCGGAATTTCATTGAGACAGATTGTGATCAATCTAAAACTGTGATCTGATTTAGGAAATATAGGAAACAAATTTCTTGTTGTTAATACTCTAAACTCAATGAAATAAATTAGAATAAGATAATGGAGATAAAAGTAAAAACGAAGGCAACTTGTATAAATTTTTTTTTTAAAATTCAGATAATGGAAATAATTCTTTTAAGAAATTATATAAGAAAGAATTATTTTCATTTAAAAGATTAAAATATTTGTTAGAAAACCATTGATTAGCACTCATTTTTCCTTTCAGTTAAAAAATTATTATAACTGTAATAATATATAACAAGCACAAGAGTCAGCAAAATTTAAAATTTCCCGGAGTAATGCATATAATTAAATAAGTAGCATCTCAGATTTTTTGCCTTGTGAAACTACATAATAATATATTTAGATTAATATTACCTAAATCTAAATGAATAAAGTAGTCAAAAGAATATTTTTCCGAGTGTCTTTAAAGTCAGTAAATGGATTATTTTTAGTTGTGTAAATTATTTCTTTATTGTACTGAAATTTGGTACAGTGTTCCCGTGATAAAGTGTACTTGATGTACAGAAAGTGAACACTCTGAATAGGTTTCGATCTAACAATTGAATTTTCACATAACTATTCCAAGACCTAGCCTTACGTACGCTAATTAATTAGTGCAGACGATATTTTAAATTAATTAAATGCAACGTACTTTCTTTGAATAGACATAGGTTTTTAGTGACTGATTTTATTCTTGATCCTTAAAAATAAAGAATGGAATTATTCGCAATCGGGTAAATATGATCCCAATAGTCTCACCAGGTGAGTTGTCGAAAATTTGGAACCATATGTTAATTTCACGCTTTACGTATTTCTCTTCATCTCAAGAACTTTTAAGTGAATAGAAAATTTTTTGCACACAATTACAAAATTCGTTTAGAGAAAGATAATTATTTATAAAAAAATAATATTTAATGTGATGTTGCTACATCACACGTACGTTGTTTTTCTACTCCTCAATAGTTTTTTCAGTTTTCGTTCTTTTAACCGCAATAGCCTATCACACTTTAACCGACTAGCGCTTTGCTTCTCTCTCACATTGGCTTCCTCGACTGACGCCAAGAAGGCACGCGGAAAGGAGCAAAGCGCTAGTCGGTTAAAGCTAAGTTGGGAATAATCGATATGGAAAATCAATCGATCGATTTAAATGTAGTGATAGGCTATTGCGGTTAAAAGAACGAAAACTGAAAAAACTATTGAGGAGTAGAAAAACAACGCACGTGTGATGTAGCAACATCACATTTAATAACTAAATTTTATTATTTTATTTATTAATAGTAAAAAAAACTTAAATTGTAAAGTATACACATTTTTACATCATCTTAAAGTAAATAATTTTGTGATGGCAAAACGACAAAATTCAAATTTTGAGCTAAATCAATCGAATAGTTCTTGAGAAATCGAACTTTAAATATTCGATTTTTACAATTTTGTAAACTCAGGTACTACTAGAATCTCACAAGTCAAAATATGGAATTGAATCTAAAAAATGTTGCTAACTTCATGACAAATTTAATAAAGTAATGATACCTGCGGCACTGTCACAGCACCATCGTGTAGACATAACTCAGAGGACGAACGCCTTCTTCGATTGGATGTGCAAGAAAAACCTCGTAGTCTCTGTCGATGTGGTGTCAATTGCTGTTGACGATTCACAGACAGCGATTGTGTGGAACCTGAGAAATGCCTCAGCTCTTCATCTTCAGGTAGAACGTCGTCTTCATCTCTAAACAATTTTAAAATAAGTTTATAAAAATTATGTTAAAAAATTTTTGATTAATTTATTCATAAATAGACGCCTTGATGGATCAACTTTTTTGAAATAAAAATTTTAAGTGGATTTTAAATTGTAATCAAAAATCAAGACTAAGTATAAACACGTTCTCTTTACATGAATTTGTTCAGCATAACATATACTAGCAATTGAAAAAATACGCTAATTATCTCATTGGCGATTTCGGAGGATTATAGATACAAACTAGCAGCTTTGTTGAAATCATACTATGCACTTTCTTAATTAAGTTACTTACTACTCATCCCATACGATAGAAGAAACAGTCAGATAAACTAATTAAACCACATTCTACAGTTCATTCGATAAAACACAACTCGACCACTACCTAACACCAATGCCCATTACCTAACAAAAGGCCTAGTTACAATGTCCGGTAAAATTTCTTTTTTACGGTTTCGAAACCATATTAGTTGTAAATGGTTAAAATATCATGATTTTTTAACTATGCTAGTTGTAAACAGTTTCAAAACTGTAAAGGTAAAAAATTTTCTTTACCTTCTTAACTTCATGAACTTACTTTAAAAATTTCCTTTATGGGTAATTGGATGGACAGACTACTGCCCGCTATTTTAATTTAAATTTAAAAGATATATTATGCTTTTTAATGCTATTTAATGAACCTTCTAAATATCCTTTTTCCAGTTTACAAACTTAAGACTTATTTTAAAATAAATTTTAATATTGACATGAAAAAAAAAGTAATTGAAACACCACTTACTGGAAGTCTAAACGTTGTACGGCTAGTACACTACCAATGGTAGGTAAAACACCACGGCACACTGTTCCAGTTGATCCTTTCCTCTCTCTGTACTGACCAAAAGGTGATGAGCTCAAAGGGTGATGAGCATCCGGTGTACCCGGGCAAGATCTTATCCCGATTGTATGCCGTTCAGGATGGTACTCTTTGATTGGACTTTGGTCGAGGGAATCATCTGTCGTTTCCTCTTGTGTGTCATGGAAATTACTGTCATCCTCCTCTTTATCACTTTCGATTTCTGCCTCTGGTGAATCGAATTCAATGTTCGATTCAGGTGTTAGCAAAATAGGCTCGTCTAAAAAATAAATTTAAATTAAAAAAAAAAACAATAATAATAATCCCAGATAAAAAGTATATAGGATCAAGTAGCTAGTCCATTTGGTTTTGCTCTGTTGTTGCAGTGTTAGGTTGGTTGGTTGGTGTCGTATCCTCTATCACGAATCATATCTCATGGTGTGCTTGAATAGTCTTTGCTATCTCTATGGGCAGTGTTAGGTCATTTATATAAAAAAAATATATGAACATCTAGAAGATTCTAATGTATGCGGGTTATTTTCTCAATTCATCAACATTTGATTCCTTGTGCAAGCTTTCTCATTAGAACATTTATTTTCTCTATTTAATGTTGTTTTGTTTAAAAAACTCACAAAGAGTAAAAAAAAAATACATCTGATGCATTTCTCACTTAAATTATATATATTTTTTAAAAAACATTAGGTGAAATGTCATTATTGTACCGTGTTCTGAACTCAAATTTTTGAATTTTTAAAATAATTTACTATATTATGAAATTGTTACCGAGATAAATTCTTACATAGTATGATTAACAGTTTGAATATTTACAATCAATATTCTTAGAATAATTTATGTATCTTGTTCAGCACATCACTTTGTATCACTTTAGTGTAATTCTATCGCATGTACGAAAATTATTAATAAAACAGTATACATGGGTCTAGTTGAATAAAATAAAACTTACAGGAAACAAAATACACTCTTTTCAGCAGAACAGTAAAGTTAAACTGCAGTACCCCTTCTCTTAGGTTGATAAAATCTCAAAAAGTCTATGTGTGACTTATTGAACGCAATTACTCTCCTCCTAATTATCATCTAAGAAATTGGAAATCAAATAAAAAATTTCTAAATTTTACAAAAACTAATCATCTATTTTTATGAAATATGGAAAGTTTAATTAAAGAAAAAAATAGTTTTCTAACTCTTTGGCAAAAACTGTTGTTCTGTGATTACTGTCTCTGCTTGAAATGCATTTTAAAGGGAACAGTAAACATTACAGCCTATAATTACTTAACTGTCGAGAGACTTTTAATATGTTTGATTCATTTGCTCATGTTCTTACTTATTTAATTACTTTTTTCATCACATTTCAATTAATAATAAAAAAGAACATTTTTATTTGACGATAGCATTGTCAGAAAACATTTTTTTATTTATTTCCAATGAGCTGCGCAATCAGTCTTCCCGAGGAGCAGACCTAGTGCGTTCTCCAGAAGTAGTGGTATCCACTCTTTCAGGACCACCACAATGGGTGAGATACCGTTGGCCATGCTAATTTGGACGTCTAGTTTCTGCCACACTAGATGGCAGCACCGAGACTCTATTTGGATGCTAAAGTGCACTAGGAATTTNAAATTCTTACATATTCTGACATAGTATGATTAACAATTTGAATATTTACGATCAATATTCCCAGAATAATTTATGCATTTTGTTCTGTGCACCACTTTGTATGCGCCCCCCCTCCTTCAGTGTAGTTCTATCACATGAACGAAAATTATTTATAAAACAGTATACATGGGTCCAGTTGAATAAAATATAACTTACAGGGAAAAAAACACTCTTTTCAGCAGAACAGTGAAGTTAAACTGCAGTACCCCTTCTCTTAGGTTCATAAATTTATCTAAAAAAATCTATGAGTAACTTATTGAACGTAATTACTCTCCTCCTAATTATCATCTAAGAAATTGAAAACCAAGTAAAAAATCTCTAAATTTTACAAAAGCTAATCATCTATTTTTATAAAATATGGAAAGTTCAATTAAAGAGAAAAATGGTTTTCTAACTCCTTGGGAAAAACTGCTGTTCTGTAATTACTGTCTCTGCTTGAAATGCATTTTAAAGGGAACAGTTAACATTACAGCCTATAATTACTTAAAACCACCTTGAAAACGAGTATTTCGACGAAATATTAAAATGTCAGTTTATTGTCTCATTATGTTGCCCCATTTCTCCAGTTTTCAAAAATGTCTCGTTTTTGCATTTGCGACAAATAGAAATTTAGTTATGGTAATTTTAGTAATGAATGCTAGCTGTCAAATTTACCGGAAGTGATAAAAACGTAACCGAAACTAACCAATAGTTTTCTTTTTCCTCCATTTATGTAAAAAAAAACTTAAAAATATTTAATTTTTAAGGCTCCTAGACTCTCGGCTGATGAAACTGAATAATGTTTTTATGTAACTGTGCTTTTTTTAAGCATCAACTTTTCTTAAACAACAAACGATATGCTTGAATTTTTGCAATCGTTTGTTTACATTTGAAGCGTTCATTTTATTTTTAATTTTTTGTTGTATTTTTAACAAATTCTCTGATTTATTTAGAAAAATTTGTACTTATTTAATTGAAATGGGTAAGAACAGAACTACTCGATCAAAAAAAACGTAAATTTCATGCAAATTAACATTGTAATAAATGTGCTGATACGCTGATACTGAAAAGATTGATGTTTCAGTTAGTGCAAGTTCTTCAAAATTATCTCTTGCAAGTGATTATACTGATGAAGTGAGCTCTTTGGTGGATAAAAATATACGTGGTAATAGAATTATAGATATGGAGATCCTAATCGCTGTATTTACTTCATTGTGCTGCCCGATTTGTTTTGATAACAAGTTGAATATTTTGGAAGATTCAAGGTCTTAGCCTCTCTTCTAACTTGACTTTGGTGTACTTCAAAGAAAGATAACAAGCAAAGTGAAATCAAATTCTTAATAAATTTCTTGTTATTACTATAAAGTATAATTATTAATTGTCATACATGCATTTTTAAGTATTATAACATTATGAGAATGTTCGTGCAGTAAAACTGACTAACATAAAATGTGTGCACAGAAAACTCCAGGCATTAAATAAAAGTGTAAAATTGTGCATATATCTTAAGAAGAGTAGTGTCTATAAAACATATTAATATTTAGCTATCAAACAGTCATAAAATTTAAGTAAAGTGCAATTATAAACTTCAATTGCATTTTTCTCAAAATGAGTTCTTTGCAATTTTTCACTTACGAAAAACAAGATAACTCCAACAAATTTTGTAATTTTGTCTTCAAATTTTCAGTGAATGTTTCCTACCTATATGTTTGTGAAACTAACCTCTAAAATTCAGATAACTTGGGATAGATTTTGTTTTATTGGATTTTTTCTGTTACGCAAAGTGAAAAAAAATGAAAAATTTTGAAAAAACACGATTAATGTAACATAATTTTATTTCTAGACAAGATATCTCTTAACCTGTGGTTCACTACACTAACTGATAGCTTTAAAGTATTGATAAAAAGTTTGATTGCCTTCTCTTTGATAGTTTTTAATATAGAGTGCTTTCCGCAAGCGATTAATTTTCACTAAGAAACATTATAAAACCTCTCTTAAATAAAATATTTTTGGCATTTTTAAAATTTTTGCTATTAATTATATCTGTTTACATCAATATATGTAATAAAAATCAATAATATTGTTAAAAATATATTATTTTCTGAAATTTTTTGTTCCGAAGGTAGTCGGATACCTTAACTGTCGAAAAACTTTTAGTATGGTTGATTCATTTGTTCATGTTCTTACTTATTTAGTTACTTTTTTTTGTCAGATTTTAATTAATAATAAAAAAAGAACATTTTTATTTGACGATATAGCATAAGAATACTAAATTTTAAAACTTAAAGGCAAACTTATGACTGTTTTTAATATTGAGATAAAGTTAAAATAATCTACTTACAAGTGTTTAGATAGTTATGAAAACACTCTGGTTTCGGTCTTAACTATACTTTGATTTAGAAAATCGAAAAATTAACTTCATAAAGTAAAACTGAATAACTAAAAAATAATTTTTTTTCCGAAACGTAACTATTTTTTTTAAAATTCTGAATTGAAAGTTTACTCGGCATTGCGTTCTTTTCATTTTTAAGATTTGCATAATTTAGAATATTTGCACAATTGCTTTAACCTTTTGCACAACACTGGCACCTTCGCAGTGACATCAAAAGTCACTACTTTGAAATTTAAAATTCTTGTAGCCTAATATTTATTACATCGTTATTTCATGACTATTAATTTAGTAATATTGCATCATATATTTTAAACAAATTGGTTCTTACATTAATTTAAATAATATTTCACTGTACTTGGAGTGCAAAAGGTTAAATTATAATTTTAATTACATTAATGACTAAATTGGAATTTTTTTCGCAGTTTTCATTAAACAAATTATTGGTATAAATAAGAATTTAATAAATTTGAGAAGAAAAACATTCCTTACGTATTATAGAAATTAGCAATGTCAGTTTTAATCACTAGTTTCTTGATTTTAGATAAATTGTATAAATATTAGGCGACAGCAAGAATAAGACTTCTAATCGAGTGAAAAATAAACTGAAATTTCACTAGGATGTTTGGAGGAAAAGTTTTATTGATCGCAGGTACAGAGTGAATTTAATGTTTAAATTAAATTATATGTCCTTTAAAAAAATTCCAAACAAGGCCAATTTTTACCCGTTTCTAAATCAAAACAAATTAGATGAAATATACGTATTATATTCGGAAATGTGAAACTTACAATATACATTTATATTTTAAAATTTTTATAGAGCAAATTGTGTAGTTAAGAAGAAAAAATCTAAAAGTGAAAAAAGAAGCATTTTTCCAATTAATTTTCGATACTGTCCCCTTTTTGTAATCATTCTTACAATACACAAAACGCATTTCAAAATAACAAACAAGAGTTCTGGTTTCGAATTATCATCTGATTGCTTACAAATGTGGTAATATAAAAATATAAGTGATACAAAGATATGTTTTAACGAAAAAAATTAAAAATTCTTTTGAAAATTTTATATTTAATATTTCATATTTCTTCTATTATTTTAATTTAATATTTCTTCAAAATTTGAGATGCTTTTCAAAGAGATATAAAATTTTCTGTAAAATATTATTTAAAATATTTTCCATTTACTTATTATTGATTTATAGAAAAAAATTAAATACTTTCTTTCTGTGTCTTTAAAGCATTTGTTGTTGTTGTTAATTAACGTCGCACTGGAGCTGCACAATGGGCTATTGGCGTCGGTCTGGGAAACATCCCGGAGGATGATCCGAAGACATGCCATCACAATTTTGATCCTCTGCGGAGGGGATGGCACCCCCGCTTCGGTAGCCCGACGACTTGCGCAAAAATTAAAAAAAATAATAAATAATAATAATTTAAGACTGTCACTAAATTTTTGTTTTTCAAGTTTTTCCAAGATTTGTGTACTTAAATATATGGTTTCAATGTAAAAATTATAAACATTAAGTTAATTACGGAATGAATTTGATTGTGTAGTGAAACAAATTGATAAACTAGGTTCGAGCACTGAAGACGATTTTATCTCTTACAAGACATTTTTTTAAAATTAAATATAATGTTTAAAATTCAAAACGAAATCAGATAATATGTACTACCTTCTATCTTTTCTTCACTTTGTAAAGATGCATCATCTGCTTCTTGCTCCTCGGGGGTTGAAAACTAAAGAAAAAAAATTAAATTATTTAGGATACTTTGTTTTTTAAATTATAAAAAGTATTCTGAACATGTCTCCCCTTACATCTATTATTATAACTCTTTTCAAAAATAAAGTAACAATAAAGATACACATTAAAGGTTGCCAATTAATATTTAAACTATGACTAAACATAAATGCTATCGATACTAGCTCGAACAAAACCAGTTTGATTGCCTGATGAAAACTAAACTTGGAAGCTGTTTTCAGTCCCGTCTTTCAAAAGAATGATTTGTTAGAATTCTGTAACGTTTTTTCTTCTCAGGTTAAATCCTAATTTGTAGCCTCTAATGTCAATATTTTATGAAAAAAAAACATATACCAAGGGCGGTTTACTCTTGTATAAACAATAAAAAAAAACATAAGGATACAATCAATGAATCAGTAGGAAATCAATCAATTAAAATTTTGAATTTATGAAATCGAATGTGCTAGAAATATGTTCAACTAACTATTAGTTCAGTGTTTTCCAAATGGTGTTCCGAAAGTTACGATATTTTTTAACCTGTAATAATTTTTTAACCTGTAATTTTTAACTAGTATAATTGCCATAATTACTAGTATAAGTCCATAATTTAATATTTTGTTTGTTTATGCGAACTTATTTATCTAAAATGCCTATCAAAAGAAATTAAAAAAATTAAAAAGTAAGGAATTTTTTTTCAATAACAATATATTAAAGGTGTCACAGTTACGAATTTAGCATAATTCTACAATTACTCGTTCTATAAAAAAAAAATTCTTATAATTATTTAAAATTTTACTTACCCTTAATTTTATAACAGTTTTAACTTGCGAGGGTACCCCCGCTTTGGTAGCCTGACAACCTGCACCCGAAGTCAAGCACTTTATGGTAGAACGAAGACCAATACCGCACACTCTCGGTCCCTACGCAGACTGATCTAAGGGGTCACCCACCCGCACACTGACCACAGCCAGTGATGCTTGACTTACACAGACTACTGACTTATGCAAATTAATGCAAATGACTAATTACTTAGATCAAAAGTTATTCAGGGTGGCCCATTTTTCATTTTGATCATTGTAAATTCGCATTTGATAGTGTGGCCGAGGAGACAATTGGTACATAATTGAAACAAACAACTGCTGTCAACCTTTATGGAGAAATTTTTTTTGTTCTCGAGCTTTTGACGTATTTCTTATTAACGCTTGGCGATGAGGGCATTCTTGTTCCATTGGGAAGATTTGTACCAACCAGATTCGAAAAAAATTAATTTCGTCTGAACATTGTTTTTTTACTAAACTAACGTTATAAGTAGTTATTAAGAATCGCTACTAACTACTGTTTTCTATTTTTTTTAAATTATTTTTTTTAGAATTGTATTACTTTTACACGGGTACTTTTTCTTAAAAGTAGCACACTGCACTACAAACTACGAAAAAATGCAGCGACTACTGTAGTTTTGCTGCTTGTAATGTACTGCTTCCACTGGTTTACCTTTTCTTGGACGTCAACGAACAGTGAACTGGACACTGAACTAGTGTCTGGACTGGATGCTGCGGACATAAGTTCACCACCAGCATCAGGAATTCGGTTTGAATCTTGGCTGACGGAGGATACCAAACTATGGCCGCTTGAAGATTCCTTAAACAATGCTATAAGAATAGTACAAACAGATATTTTACAGACAAGAACTTTTAATTCAGTTACAAAATTTTAAATAGAATACGAAGTTACATACATACAAGAAGAATACAAGGAGTTAAATATTTTAACGTAGCTAAAGTTTATATTATTTTATCGATGTTAAAAATATACAAATAGTTCAATAAAATTATATAAAAATAAAAGGTACACTAGAAATTCATTCGCTTACATACAGTTCTGAAAGAGGTTAAATGCAGAAATTATTCTTAGGAAATCCATTAAAATGAGAAACAACCTTTTAAAGGTAATCACAAATAGATTAAGCTCTTATCGTGTTTTGAAATTTTTTAATTAAAATAGCGGAGAAACTTTATTTTTAATTTCGTTATCAAATAATAGTTTTTATTGTGTAGAATGTGTTGAAATGTAGGCGATGAAAGCTCTGAAATTGATAGCGATCATACTCTAATTTTTTAATTGCTACTTTAAGTACTTAAAAAAAGAACTGTTGTAAATATTGATGTTAATAAACATCAATATTTAAGTTCCTAACAGGAGCAAAATATTTAAAAAAAAAATAGAAATAGAGTATTCCAAAATTATGTGATCCATAAAATTAACCTACATGCTCAACTTCGATGGCTTATAAATTGTCATCCGTAGTCATTTAGGAGTACAATCAGCAAAGGTTAGTATCTACGAAACATAATTTGATATTAACTTAAAAAAAGACAAAAAACATTTCAATATATGATTCCGTTCCGTACAATCTTATGTTGTTGTTGTTGTTTCTAATGCCACTTGCCACACGGGCACCCGTTTATAGGGCGGACCCATTCAGATATCCACTGATCGTAATTTTGACCTGAATCAGAGAGCGATCGATTTCCGATCCAGTACCCCCAGAGGTGTTGATTTGTTATGGGAACATGAAGGACTTTAGCGACTCGACAGATTTAACGTGCATCAGTCACTTTACTACACGGGGAGTCTTCGGCCGGCGGGGTTCAAACCCACGAACTCACGGACGTGGGCCCATCGCCCTACCGACCAGGCTATCCCGACCTACAATCTTCGTATTATACAAAATACTAATGAGTATATTGCGAAAATTCCAATAAAATTTCATTTTGGTGTTGACAATGAATAACTAAAAATTGAAACGTCAAGCGAGTGAGCAATCATAAGCATTAACGCGTAAACGTGAACGATAATAAAATTTCAATTTCTAAATTAAAATTCTTTGATGATGCAACGAAGAGCTGAAACTAACTGAGGCATAATTAGGATGGGCTGAAATGAAAGTGAAAAGCGAATAGTTCATTTCTTTATTAATTATTCAAAATGGCATTATCATCTCAAAATATGTCATTTTAAAGGCCCTTTTTCCTGCAAAATATGGATTCTACTTCCCAAATGTTAGTCTACAGAGTTATATGAACTATAGAATTATGTTATAGAGTAATAGAATTATATGAACGTAATTTTTTTTTATTATATCAAGTTACTAATCAATATTTTTGATCAGTTTAATTTAATTTTGTTTATTAAATATTCTGTTAAATTCAGTAATCAAATTTTAAATTTTAAGGCTTTGTAGGTATATTTTAAAATTTTAAACTTGAAATGTTACAAAAACCTTGAAAATTCCTTGAATAACGGTTTTTGATTAAATATACTGAAATAAAAAATATTCACAAATATCGATTAGTTTCACAATAATTAAGGAAATAGCGTTCATATAAACTCTCCGTGAGTTAGTGGGAAGGAGAATAAAATATCTTTGTTACGTATAATTTCCTTGTTACGATTTTATTAATTTTTTTTTTAAATTTACATTAATTTGTAATAATTATTGAAAAAAAACCCTTCTATTCATATATTATAGTAAATTATGATAAAAATGCAAATGGGGAAATCGATAAGCATTTTTTTATTATTATTAAAACGAAACTGCTAACGTAAAAAGTAAATTTATGTTTCAAATTCAAATCCACTAGAATAATTCCAGCGAGACGCATCTTGTACTACTTCCAAAATGAACTTGTTTGCGTGTAAAACAGAAATTCCATTGGAACTTTCTCTGATTTATAGCATTTGAAAGCATTCTGGAAAAAAAACGTACTTTTTGGAGGCGACGGAACTGGGATTTCCAATTTCGGCTTAACTTGTACTGTGGTTCCATTTGGAGTTTTTTCAGATTTAGCACTCTTAGATGTTTTACCTGTTTAAGGAAATAAAATACATTCTTTTCTTATTTACATACAAATAACAAATTTGAATGAAGAGAAACTGAAGTTTGGGATTTTTAAATCATACCTAGAAAATTAAATCTTCACTTTTAATACATTCCACATTTTCTAATTATTTTACTTCTATTGTTCTCGAGGTTTTTAGAAATTAAATGTCTTTAGAACATTTTTTAATAAAATTCAATTTTAGGGAAACGCTTTACTTTTTTGGGAAAAATGGCTTTGAAAAGTCGATAAAATTTTAAAATAGCTTAAATTTTAGTCAATTAAATTTTGAAGCACTAGTTTAATACGTTGTAAGCAGAAGTTGAAAGGCACAAATGAGAAAAATCCCTTTAATCTTTCGTTGAATCCTGGAACATAGCTTTTAATATTTTTACGGAAACAAGTTCTACTTCATACTGTGCATAAAAACTAGTCAAAAGTTTCTAAGTGCTAAATAGTTACCTCATTTATAGTGTTCGATATTGTGGCTCGTGATTAATTTCGAAACGTTCAAATTTGCTGCAACCGTAGTATGGTGCTAAAACCACATTATTGTACTTCTGAAACCTGATTATGTGATATAGTTCAGCTTGAATTAAAACACAATTTCTTTTAACACCATAATGATTCAGTAAATTTGCTGCATATTGTGGTTCATGGCTCCAATATTTCAACTTTCAACTGAATTGTCTGAGTGTGTTAGTATATTTGGAATCCTCGTTAAAACTAAACCCAAAAAATATACTCTAAAATGGGCAGGAAAACGGAAAACTAATAATGACTTGGTTTCATCAAATCTGATAAATAAGCGAGTTTTCTAGATTTAATTCTACCTTTATATCGATAATGGTTCACTGAATTTCTTCCTCACTGTGTGAAACGAGCAGATAAAGAGCAATAACTGTCGATTCCTTGTTGGATATTATTTAGTTCCAAGATATTCCCAAAATGAATTCAAAATAATCTTCAGTGCTCGAAAAAAACGAACCACTCTGAATATCTTCTGATCCGATCTTCACATTCTAAGACTTATTCTTAATGGTTCGAAGGGGTTGACCTCAAATATGCTAATTAATTAGTGAAGACGATATTTTAGGTTACGAAAACAGACACAAAAACGTTCTTTTTCTGAGTAAAAATACTTCTTCGATGGATTCGAATTTTTGACCTCCAAAATAAAGGTAGTAGCCGCAATCTGGAAAATAGGGTCCCCATCGTTTGGTTAGGAGAACGATCTAAAGTTTGGACCCCTCTAATGTTAATTGCACTATTTGAGTATTTCGATGAGGAATAAAAATGATTCAAAAAATTGTATACCTTATAACTCAAAATCTTTTCCAGCATTCTTAAATAAAATAAAAAATTATAAATATTTACTAAAAGTTATTTTTTGCATGGAATTATTTTTTGATAAACTCATTTTATAAATTATATGTAAAAAAAATTTCAATTAGCTTGAAAAGTTTTCGAGATATAAAGAGATACCCAAAAAGTAAGATTAACATTAAGGGATTCAAACTTTGAATCGCTCTCCTGACCAAATTATGGGGACTATATTTCCCAGATTGCGGCTTCCCCATATAATTTGGGGTCAGAAATCCGAATCCGTAGAAAAAAATATATGTTTATTCAGAGAAAGTACGTTTTTGTGTCTGATTTCGTAAATTAAAATATCGTCTCAACTTATTAATTAGCATATTCGAGGTCACCCCCTTAAGATTGAGTCCTAGAATGTGAAAATCTGATCATTAGGATCAAAAGTTGTTATGGTTGGACCGTTTACTCTTTTGCGCACTGTATATTGAAAAAGAAATGTCACTATTATTCGAAAAACCACTGAGGCATTGAGGTTTAATGATTTTTTTTTTTAACTTTAAATTGTTATTTCTGAAATAAAATTCAAATTTTTCATTAAAAAATACGTAAAAAGAAATTTTTTACTCATAACTTTTGCATTTAAGTTTACAGTTTGGACCAACAATATTTTACTTTGCACCAAAAAATATTACTAATTAAAATTTTTATTTTTTTATGAAAAAAAAAGAATTCTAAAAATATATTTTAAGAAAAATCAATAAAAAATTTAAATTTCAAAAACTGTTCACAATATAGCAAATTCCCAGGTAAAGCTCCTACCTATGTAAAGCAAATGTGGGTTAGTTCACTCAAAAAGTACTCCACGAAGAATAGGAGCGAAGGGTAGGAAATATATAAAGCGTGATTCAAAAGTTCCTTAACCTGGGTTCAAAATTGCAAGTCCACGGAGTTGAACACTGATAGCCGTAAACCCCAAAATCAATCAACTGTTCAACGCCAGTAATAAAATAATTTAGAATCATGCTATCAAGCTATTTTCTCGCTATTAGATTTATTTAAAAGATTCGTGGCAATTCTTCGAAATTCAGCAACTTTTTTTTAAAAAAATCCAGCGTACCAATTCAATATTTACTAAATTTACTAAATAATTTCATTATTTGAAGCAAGCAAACTATCTCATAGTCGAAATCAGTTAAAAAAAATAAACATCGGGAAAGATGTACTTAATTTTTCTTTCCTAGAAATGAGAATTTCGCATCTTTCACAATTTAAATTACTTGGAAAGAAGCCAAAAGTTTTACATATTTGAATTACACGCTTTATATTTTCATGTAGGTGGAGAAAAATTGAGTAGTCACAAAAACAATCATCCCCGACTTTTATAAAGATTTGAATAATTTTGAATGTGTTAAAAAACTGGATTCTCTGGATGTCAAGTTACAAATGTAGTCATTTTCTTACATTTTGCTAACAATTATACTATCACAATGCTCTTCTAGTTTCCGATATTTAAAATAGCTTACATTTCAAATGTTTTAAGGTTCACTGACCAGAATATGATACAAAGGAAAAATAAAACAATACTTAAACGGAAAGTAAACCTGCGCCCGAAATTTCTGCGCAATTATTCAAAACAATTCGCCTTCTTCATATTCATAACTCCACATAAATAACTATATGTATTTCTCTACTTCTAAAAGGAAATAGATTTCTGACATTCTTTTAATTTCATCTAACATGCAAATTGCACAAGTATCTAGAAATACCAATTTCTGTACACACAGTGTAAATTAGTTACATTTCTATGGTTTTTTTGTACAGCATTTCTTTCAGCAAAAATGTAGACTTTTCATGAAAGTAAATTTTAAATAAAGATATAAACCAAATAATGTACTTAAATAGTATTTTGCTAAATAATTTAATCCAATATTTCAATACAAACTTAAGACAGTATTCAATTGGACAACATTTGGTACTATTTTATCATTTAAAAATAACATTAATGATTATTTTTATGTCTGTGTACCTTATCAAAGTGATAGTATTTGTAAAAACACAATTGGATTCACAATCATTGGATAGAGATTTTACTTACAAAACAGAAAAGAAACACATGAGAAAAGTAAGAAATTTGATCCAAGTAAACATTTAAAGCTTTATGACATATAAATATCTTGTTGGGGACTGGTGAAATTTATTTCATAATCAAAATGTGAATAAATACAATTTTAAAATTAAATTTTAATAGTTTTTTTTATCAAATAATTACAAATAACTGCAAAAATATTAAGTTTAATTAAACAATTTTTCTCCAAACATGTTTTTTTATTGCATTTATGAGTTGATTTCGTTTTAAGCAGCATGCTTGGAAGTATAAACGCATTTTCTGCTTTTAATCACGTGTATCATGGAGGATATATTTAGAGTAATTTTGTATTCATTTTAAATTTATGGAAATATAATTCTCAATACATTTTTATTTGATATATAAGCTATGTGATGCACTAATAACATATTAGATTAATTATTTATATAATTATGAACTAGGTCTTTAATATTCAATATAACTGGAATTAAAATATTTTTCTATTTCACATTATGTTTAATTAGTGCGCATTATCATGATTAATATATTTTTTTAAAAATTTAACATGGTTTCATGAAATTTTTTTAAGATGTAACTTAAATGATTTTATTATACAAAAAGATACAAAAAATACACATGAAATTAAAAAACAGTAGGAAAAGGCATAATTGCATAGTTTTTAATGTTTTTATATTTATGAAAATATTTCACATTTCGTTTTACTTAACATATCCTCCTTACATTATAAATGATTATAATTTCATTATTTTCTTATTCATCTGTATAATCACATTGGCATAGCTGCATTATATTTAGGTTTCAGTCTTATTCATAACAATAGTGTTATTCACATCAATTTTAGAGTAATTTATCTGATATTTTAGAAAACTATCATTACAGCTGCTTAGAGAAGATTAGATCCCTTAACGTAACGCAATGAAACATATATGGTTTAAATAAATGTTAAACAAATTTAAATGACTTAAATATATTCAAACGATAAAAAAAATCCCTACAACTGATGCAATGCAATATGAATACTTTTGTTCACTTTAAAAAATAATCACATAAATGGCTGATAGTGATTTTTATGACGTCACAAACAACAAGCCTAATACGCACGTCAACAAACATCATGTTTCGATAACTTTCCTAAAAAACACACAACAGTTTCAAAGTCGCTTTCAGAGTTCCAAATTAAATTCTATTAAAATTAATCATCTTCAAACTCAAGTTATAGTTAAATTTCAACCCATTTTTTCGCATAGATAAGACCTATTTATAGATTTGATCTCGGAAAACAGAGAAGCATCAATATATATTTCTCTTTTGATCGCAGCTAAATTATTCTACATCAGAAATACTAATTGAGTAAAAAAAGGGAAATGAAACTGACCAGATTGTCCAGGCTCGGACGGTTTCTTGTTGGGGCTGGGGGCATTGCTGCTACCCCTGTTCCCCATTTTCCAATCTAGAGAGAATTTATTTTGTAGGAATGATACCAGCTGCCCGCGGAAGGAGGCTCCGCTGGTTGTGGAGATTGTTGGGATCCCCGCAGTTGAAGACTGGGGATGAGCATCGCAGGGGGCGCTGCTACACCGAGAAAGCACCTGTAAAGGGATGAGGAGAGGAGAGATTAAGTACGCAATCGCGAATTCAAACGATCCAGAAGATGCGATTCGTGATCTTCAATCGAACGGGATTGTTTTTAAAATCGTTTAATTTAGTCGTTAAATGATCAACTCGTGTCACAATGTGGCACAGTGGAATTTTAACAGTGGCACGCGAAAACTTATTGAAAAAATAGTGTCACCTTTAGAAATTTTGTTAAAATCTTTAAAAACCTACTCAAATTACAGTCGGACCTCTATTTAGCGAAGTTGCTAAATCCCGATAATAAGTTCGTTACATGGAAAATTCTTTAAATAGAAAATCATCTTTTGACATAAGCACAAAACAGGCTTTAAATTCATAAACATGGGACATAATTAAAATAGCAAACTGATACGCCTTTATTTTGTAAACTAGTATCAACTATTTATTTTATAAATCTTAGCCATAAAAGAAATCTGCATGGAAAGTAAGAATAGAGCAAAACATTATGCAGTGTTACACTATCATGCTACATACATTTTCAACTAAAAAAAAAAGTTAAATTTATGCATAAAATTATAACTGTATTTATTTGCTGTATAAAATTACGACTGCAAAGTAATTTTAAACATACATTACCACATGCGTTCTTAAGTTTAATTGCTACTGCTAAAATCCATTAATTTTGTCTGAGTTTTTCGTTTGAAATGTAAACAAAAAGGGAAAGGGATTTTACTGCTTTCTCTAAAAGTTAAGGAGCTTCGAAAATTTAAGGTCATTTCCTCTATAAAATGCGTTAATAAGTTTGAAATGTTCTGAAATAGTTTGGGAAATAGGAAAAGTGAATCTCAATGAAAATTTCGTTAAATAGAAAATTCACTATTTGGAAGTCATTTTACGAAATTTCCAAAATGTTCTTGGTTCCTAGCAAAAATTCGCAAAATGGAAATTCGTTAAGTAGAATTGACTGTATATTGAATTGTGGAAATTTGCAACAGCAAGCAATTTTCCAAGTTTACAGAATTTGGTAGATTTAATTGCTTTAGGTCTCGATGAATATATGTTTGTGAACAAATAATTTCCCTCATAAATATATTAAAATATCGTTCACTGATATGCACAGAAAATATCTAATGATGTCAACCTCATCAAGAACATGAATGGCTTGGCAAAATATATGAATAAATAAAATAACATTAAACAAGAACTTACATAAGTCTGTTAATGGTTATTTAATAATATTTTAGAAGAATTATTTTCTTTTTCATAACTCAACTGACCGAACATTTGAAAATGTCCATTAACAATAAATCTTTTTTTAATACTTTTGCTTAGTTTATCACATTATTTAACGAAATTTCCACTAATTAAATATGAGTGAAAAACGCTATTTGCGTGAAATCTCAATTAGCAGTTTATAAAATGGATTTGCTCATCATATTTTCAAAAACTTTTTCGGCACATTGAAACAATTAGAAGTAGCACGAGCAATTCTTTTTTCCAAAAGTGACATTAGCCATCTTCGATTTAGATAATATAATTACAATTACAAATTTATTGATAGTTATGCTTAGTTTTATGCAATATATGCTTTTAGATTTAGATACAAATAAGTATCCTTTTATCATGGAGTTATCAAAAATTCGCCTTATTTCCTGTACCCCGTATAGGATTCATATTATACATACTGGTTTTATCGGATTTTATGTATGCTTTGAATTATTGCCAAAATGCTTCACTGGTTGGCAAAGTTTCAAATTTCAACTAAATTTTGAAAAATAATGCTTTTGTGATGCAGTTAAAATTGCAATAAATATTTTGACCATTTATATAAATATACTTAAGCATACAATCTTTATTTAAGCTTGTGATCCAATCATATAAATATGCTAAATAGTCACGTAAAAAAAGGATCATAAAAAAACTGCTTACTTACATTTTTCTCGGCTTTGGATGTATTTTCCGTGTGAACAAAATATTTCGAAAAACTTTTCCTAAATAATGACTTTGTAGGTACTTTTATAGGTTTTTTCATTTTTTCAGGGTTAACTGATAAATTAATCTGAAAGATATATTGTATTTATACAAAATGTAACAAAACTAATAGTATTAAATGCAATAAGTGATGTAACTAGAAAAACATATCTATCACAGTACAAGTGGGATTTAATAAAAGCAAAAATTGATCGTTAGGGGAAGAAACGTATTTTTTTCTTACGTTACCTAATATCCTTTTCACGTTATAATTCGTTGCAATACGCAACAATATTAGACTGCAAAAAAAGGCTAGAATGCGTTTACGTACCAGCTATAAAAGGTATCTAATGCAGAAGGAGCTTCCTTTTTACAAGGAGCGATTTTCAAACAGGGAGCAACTCACAAGGGAAACTAGGGAAGTGTGACTCTCCAATTTTGAAATAAACTAGTGGGATGTATGCCTTATGAGGAATAAGTTTAGGGGGCAACATTCGCTTCGGCCCATAGAAGATCCTGTGATAGATAAAAAAATAATTCAATATATAGAAAAATCGGTATTTTATTACTTCAATGCAGACTGTTAGTTATCATAATTATCTCATACTCATAATTAATAAATTTTCTAAGTAATAAATTGGATAATTAATTATTAATTCTTAATTAATTATTAATAATTTTTTAATAAACTAATTGATAATTTATTAATTGATTTGCAATTACATACTCCAATTAATTTCGAAACTTTTTTGAAGAAAAAAAAAATTAAAAAAGATGTAAATTTTTTTTTAAAATTAACCTAACAGGTTTTTCTGAAAAACTACAGATATATAAAATTTTCGAAATCAATTTTGACAATAAATATGCATTTTATAGTACGTGAAAGTACCACAAAATTAATTGGAGTATGAGATAATTACAATAACCAATAGTCTGCATTAAAATAATAAAATACCGATTTTTCTATAAATTGAATTATTTTTTTATCGCTCATAGGACCTTCTATGGGCCGAAACGAATATTGCCCCCTAAAATTATTCCTCATAAGGCATACATCCCACTAGTTTATTTCAAAATTGGCGAGTCACACTTCCCTAGTTTCCCTTGT